CCTTTCATTGTTCTTGCAGCTCCCCTTTTACTGTGCCTCTTACGCACAAGGCTGCCCACGTTGATTGTGGTTGAGCGGCAGCTGCCCACATCCCCGTGTGTCTTCACGGCCCACTTGCACGTTATTTCAGGAGGCAGAGTAAAAGGGAAGGTATGCTCCTGTGCATCTCCTCAGAGCTTCATACTCCTGTTCATTTCACTTCAGATCTTCAGCTTATACAGTCTTTGTGTCGGTCCTTCTTCTTCATACTTCCGTTCATTTTATTTCTGATCTTCATATCGTCTATACTCTTAATGATGCTAATTCGTATGTATTTGTTAGTAGTACAAGGGGAGTGGAGGGGAGGGTGGAGGGTAACGGGTAGAAGGCGGAGTTCTCTAGGAGTATGGGGCAGAGGAGGTAGGGGCAACGGGAGGTCAGGATAGAGTATGACATGCAAAGAGCAGGGGAAAGGTGTATGACGGGTTTCACAGATTTCTAAATATTCACCGCTGAAGCAGATGCAAGGAAAATGAGAGATAGCGAGATGACAGACTCCAGATAGCACAATCACATTGAAAGCAAGAAAGTTCCACAGTGTCCAGATAAGCAGCATTGCACCAATATTACACCAATGGAGATTTGAAACACTGAAACCGAATGTCGATGAGAGCTTTACTCTCGTCCCCACCAACATACATATCCAGGCCCTCTCTCCCTACTTGGCGCTCGGCGCCCAGGCTACTCCCTACACAGCTACTTCCTGCCTACGAATTGACAATGCAACTGTTGACGTCAGCAGCCACCGAAGTACTTGAAGATGTCGACCAATGCAGACCACCGCCAATACCAGGTATGCACCCTCACATCATCATCCTCATCTCTTTCACTCTCTCCCTATCCTTGTCTTCCTCCCCACGTCTTCTCCCTTATGCACGAAGACCACCACCACCTCCACTGACTGTCCAAGCCAAGCCCTGGCTATGTAGGGCTCGCTATGGCGCTGCCCTCAGCAGCACCCTGCCTTCTTCCAGCGCCCACGCGCACTGCCTGGCAACTAGCTGCAATGACTTGCTGGTTCCAGGTTGCCTGTAGCCTATCTCTGACGAGGCTGTACTCTAGGTAGGGACAGATTCGTAATTTTGTTTGGCTGAGGGCTAACCGAGAGACCTACCTGTAAGGAACATTCGTGAGGGACATATTTGTAAATATAGGAAATATGGGCCCGGTACTAACTCGAATTTCCTACAGCTACCCTAACTGCGAATAGCAGACCCGGGCTACCCCTAGGACAGACAGGCCCAATGGGCCTACGCTGATAGACGGTCCTATAGCCTATAGCCGGGTAGGGACAGGCCCTAATAGCAGACCCGCGCTACCCCTAGGACAGACAGGCCCAATGGGCCTACGCTGATAGACGGTCCTATAGCCTATAGCCGGGTAGGGAGAGGCCGTAGAGGCCGAAACAGAAACCGTACCGGTCGGTCAGTCAGTCCGGTCTAGGTCGTGTTTAGGCTAGCTTAGGGTATAGATAGGATGAGGACATCGGTCCTGGGCTTTTGGCAGTTGACACTTCGTGGTGGAAGTTGCTGCGCACACGGTATCAGATCATGATTGCTGATTCCGGTGTGGGAGACRRCRKACATAGCCAGACCTTCGGAGCRYTGACCAGACTGGGGTCAACGCTGTCCGCTCTGACTCTCTGGGAGTCAAAGCGGTCTGGGCTATYAKAGGTCTGATGCRTTGGAGCACGYGGTGCACTGCTGACCCTCCTGAGGAGTAGGGTCCCAGTGGCGATGCAGCCATAGCTGCATCTTCTCAGAGGATATCATCGTCTGGACTTCATCGTCATCAGGGACTGTTGACGCTGAGCTTCTTCTTCATCATCTGGGTGGCGATTGGCTCTGGGAGCCTGTTTCATCTTGGCCCAGGCCACTGAGTTGGATGTCAGGGTGGCGCTGGGTGTTACCTGGGGTTCTGGTGCTATTTTTAGCTGCTCGGTGTGTGCGGGGTTGAGGCGCTACCCCTCTGAGGGTAGCGCAACAGGGATCTGAGCTTATTCAGGGAAAACGATGCTCTGAGTTTAATAAACAGTTGTATTACTGTGTTGAGTTGTCATCTCTTTATGGATTTCTGGCTGTGATCACTCGGTTGTCTTCTATGAATGATTGTTGGGACTTGTGCGGAGAGAATCCACAATTTTGTGTGTTTTGTCACTTCGCTCCTCTGAGTCTTCCGCTGCGTTCTTTTGTTGGGCGGTGTGACACTCCACTACCTCTCCCCTTGCTTTTGTGCATGTATGGGCGTGTACGGGAGTTCCTGTTAGTGAGCGTTGATAAAATTTCAACGGACAATCATGTTCATAACAGTTGGTATCGAAGCAGATCGGACCGAGATAGTGGCGAGATGATGGACTGAGGCAGCCATCACTACCTGAGAGCTTCTGACGTTGGATTTCATGGTGGAATCGCATCTTTAGTACTGCGCTACGTAGGGTGTTGGTGAGGAGTGTGTGGCGGTTGGTATGACACAGAGATTGGTGGCGATTCAGTGCTCAGTGGCCTGGGAGGCACTGAGGGGCTATTTTTTGCCCAGGCGTTGACTCTACTGGTGGCGAGATACCTGGGGGTATGTCGAGTCTCAGATTCTGGGTCAGATACAGTGAATCTGATTAGTGGGGATTAATCGCCATATCAAGAGCTACAGTATCACCAAGTTTCAGGAGATTTGGAACGTGGGAGCATCAGGAACAGTGAATTGAAGAAACTGGCGAGATGGCAACCCTAGCCAGTTCAGCTTCTTCTTCCAGTGTTTTGACCTGAAGTAAGTGTGTTCCTTACTCAAGTCTCTGTAGCGGGTCTGATAGTTGTAATTAGACTGGGGATATTGAAATTGTATGTCTGTAGACAGTAAAAGTTGAAAATCGCACTGCTTGACACTTTCCCCTACCTATCTACTTTGACTTCTACTGACTCTGTTTGACCTCCTCTCTGTCTCAAATTGCATCCCTGACTGTATTACAGTATTGCGATTCAATACACATAGTGAATTGAGTAGTTCAGGGTCCATATGTCAGTAATAATGAAATTCTGAATGTTGCGCCGCCATAGCTAGGGTTTGTGATATCTCAGGTTCTGCCCATCAGAATTTCAGTATGTCAGTCACCCTGAAATCGCAATTCAATAATGAGTCAGTGTCTGAAAGCGCTCTACTGGATTCGATGGTTTGAGTCAGGTATAGTGATATTTGTACTTCGCCTCACCTATAGTGGGGCATACAGGGTCCAACAATGCCAGTGTCAGAAGGAGTCTAAAAATAGCTTGATCGGTCATCCGCTGTATCTTGGTTAACTACTGGGTTCTGTTGATTGCTATTGACTCTTTGCGCTATTCTAACCTTCTACTTACAATCCAAGGGTGCGTCATGTCTAACTATCTGACAACGATTCTGGGGTTATTGCACCCAGATGAGGGTTCTGGGCTGTGAATGAAAAATCGCAAGCTGGTTTTATCTGGAATTGCCCTAAACTGACCCAGAATAGCCCTCAACGGCCTACAGAGGTTGAGCGCTCTTCTGCCTAATTCACCAGGTCTCTTCTCATCAGGTGGCAGTGATTACATGAGTGGTGTGTGTAATCTTAATCTCTGCTGACCTCATTTCTGTGTGTCTGTATTTATTGACTGGTTGAATGGTTCATTATGGCTGACGCTGAAACGAAGATTGGGGGAGGAGAAACTTCCACTAGCCCTCCTCAGGTTCCTCTCTCTCCCCTAGAGCAGGCTCTGCTTGAGGCTGAGCAAGCTTGCCTCCAGGCCGAGGCCCAAATCCAGCGGTTGAAGAAGGAGATGGAGGAAGCTCAGGAGGCTAGAAGGAATGAAGAGAGAAGGAGACAACTACGAAAAGATGTTGAAAAGGTTGTCACGAGTGGTACCTCCAGTCAGTACAGTAAGGATACTGCTGAGTTGGTGATGTTAACAGACACCATCAACAGGTCCTACTTTTCTAACTGGGACCAGCGGATACTCGCGCTCGAGACCCAAGGTTCTTCCATCGACCGTAAGGTTGATAAACTGACAGCAAGCCTTGAGTCCCTGACTGCGAGTGTGAACAACATTCTGCAGCACCTGCACCTACCTGTCCCTTCTCCCCAGCCTCCTCAACCTTCTCCAGCGCCTTCTACACCATCTCACAGTCGTCCATCTTCACCTACTGCTTCTCATGTATCCACTACCTCTGTTCCCTCTGGCACATCTGATCAGCGGCAGCCCAAGCTCACACCACCTCCTATGTATTCTGCGGAAGACCCTGGGCAGCTTCGTTTGTCCAGAGGTGACGAAGGTAGGGACTATTCTGGGTCGTCTGGAGAGGACTGCACTTAAGTGGTGCACATCCTCTGTAGCGAAACAGAATCTGCCCATGGACAAATGGGCACAGCAGTTGAAGGTGGAGGGGTTGCTGCAAGCCCTGCGAGACCGGTTTGCAGACAGGGAACAGGCTCGAAAAGCAGCAGATAAGATACTGCTGCTGGGTTCACGTAGGTTTGAGGGTTCCCTGTCCAAGCTCTGCAGTTTGTTTGAGAGCTTGACTGCTACACCCGGTCTGGAGATGAGTGAGTCTGACCAGCTCACTCACTTCCTGCTCTCAGCGCCTCCAGACTACTCCATTGCTATTTATTCTCAGGGCCATAAGGACTGGAGGTCCTTTGGCAAAGCGGCCCTGGACCTGGAGTCTCGGCTCAAGGTTCAGGAACCTTCTGAAGGAAGGAGGAGACCCTCTTCCAGGGGACAGCGCAGGAAGAAGGGTGCTCTATTAGTTGCTGATGCGGGATCTGATTCTGATGCATCAGCGTGACAATCCATCTGAGACTGCATCAGTATCAACAGTTGAGCCAGCCGTTCTTGCCCTGGCCGAGAATCTTGCTGCCATGTTCAAAGGGAAGATGGAAAACAGTAGCAGCAAGAACTCAGCCAGCCAGAAGGGGAAAGGGAAGGGATGTACCACTTCCCCTCAGGCCCAGAGACCTAATCTACCACGAGACGTTCATTGGCCAGTCAACCCCATGGATCCTTCCACCCTTCCCTGGAGAGCGCTCAGGATCCAGGAAGGGCAGTGGCAGAGAAGGAAGGACCGTGAGGTTTGTTTTCGCTGCGAGGGGGACCACATCCTGAAAGACTGTCCCCATATGCCTCGCAAGCCTG